TTCAGAGTGGGCCCAAAAAAGGCCCTTAACGATACCCCTCCTTTACGACCTTAAATTTTGAACCAAATCTTCTGCTATCGAATACGAAAAATCAGGGAGAATTTAAGTTTTATGTTGACCAGCTTCTCGAAAGAAAAATAAAATTTCTAAGGAAGTCTGCAACGTCGCAAGTGGAGAAACTTCGTTTCTCATTTCGCCCAAAAATATGTTTGCATAAAATTGAAGGCATTATGACTGGCCTCTCTCAACTTATCTTCGTCTGTAACGCTAAACAATGGGACGCGTTTGCTACGGCGCGGCGCCTTGATACAACTATACAACCTCGATGGATGTCCGTATTGCGTTCAAAAATTTGAAGGCGTTTTGACTTCCTACGCATAATACCTGCAGTTGATTCGATCGACAAACGCGTTGGTCGGCGGTGACGGGGACTTGATGCAACTTTTTAAACTTGATGGATGTCCGCATCGCACCGACTGAAGTGCGAAACCACGTATCTCCATTGCGGTGTTTCAAAATTTCCGGGAAAGAAGATATTGGAGAGAGAAATGAAGAGAATATGTGATTGAAAAAAATGGATCAAAATAAATGAACAATAAATGCGAACCAGTCGACATAGATTCGAGCAATAACAATTAGAAAAAAAAAAAAAAAACAGGTTCGTTTTTTTTCCCAATTGCATTTGTGTGATTAATGTCTGATCACCACAGTTTCCAATTTTAAACTTTTTCTGATTTAGACAACGATAAATTTTTTTAATTTTCAAAGGGAAGTTTGATATATTTTAAGATATCAAACGAAAATGAATAAAAAAAATAAAATTTGAGAGTTTTATGGTTTATTCTCTTTTTGCTTAAACAATCAAATCAATCTGCTTAATCAACTTTTTATTACGATAAATCAGTTCATTTATGGTCTTAAACATATTACACGTATCCTTTGAGGAACAAAGGAGGAAACTAACACTTGAATCCCAAAAAATATTTTTTAAGATGGAGATAAAAATTGCTTTGACCTAGAACAATCAAGATAATCTGAGGACATACAACGAATAGGTAAAATTAATATAGAAATCACAGCCATAAATTTAAAAAAAAAAGTCCACTTACTTGATACATTACTCTTCACTATGCTTCATTGCTCTTGCACTGCGAAATATTTAACCAAGAGCACAATAATTTAGATTGAATGGTTTTCTCCATCAGTAAGATTATGGCTAAACTCCAAAACCACGAATGTAAATGAGAGGGTTCCAAAATGTGTGCATGGGTGCTACATTTTTTTATGGAGACCAATCAGCATCCTGGATAGTTTGAATTTCTTTTGCAAAATCACCATGCAATGCTGAAGAAAAATAATGACATTTCAAGCCCCACTTAATTAATTTTTTTTATTTTTTTACTCTTTTGTGAAGTCAGAACTTTTTGAATGTTGCTTTACAACGACTGTTAATGGGGGAGACTGTACACAGAGCAAGGAAGTAGGAGGGATGAGGGTGAGATATGGTCGTATTGAAATTTGATCTTAGAGGGGAGGGGGGCCTGCAAAGTTTTTCCAGGTTGGTCTTAGAAAACTTCTTGCAGAGGGTGCTAGAAAAGTTTTTGCAAAGGTGCCCACCAAAACCTCGCAACGCCACTGACTATACCGAAGTATGATAATTTAGACGTTGCAAATATTTTTTTGATGCAACGAAATTTTTTTTGTAAAACTTTGAAATTATAACAGAATTTCATCAGAGATTCAATTCAGTAGGTATTTCTGAAAATTTCGGGGGAAAATCTTCGTCTGGTCTCTAAACTCAAAAAACTGGCTTCTAAAATAAATATTTCAGCCGAGAAAATGTTGCAACATTTGAATGCACTTACAGGATTCTTCCTTGGGACAGTAGTATACAGATACGTTTTTTTGGAATTTAGCCATTTGAGACAATTTTATCTTAAGAAGTTATACTTATTATACAAAATTTGTGATTTAGCACCTTGAAATCATAAAAGTTGAGCTAACACTCCCAAGAAAAGAAAAATAAAAGTCTTCTACCACCATCTGAAAAATTTCTCAGAGAACAACAAACGAAAAAGAAGAGCTTATGAAAGTAAGTTAGAGTACTGAAAAATATAAGTCATGAGCAAAAGCTAATTTAACCTGCAAGATTGCACAAAGCAAGTAAAATCTGAGTACACAAAAGGAAGAGAGAAACCCCAAGAAGGAACTTTACTTACAAATAAATTGGATACGAAGCATTTGATATCAAAACCTGCGAAACCCATGGACCTCAAGGTTTCAAAAAAGTAATTGAAGTACCATTGGAAATATTTCATCGATAAGTTTCAAAATTCTCAAGGTGTGCGAGGGAAATCAGTGGACTGGTCAATAGGTAAATTACCCTTTTGTCTACCTACTACTTAATTTGTTCTGAAATTGAGTGGAAGACTGTGTATGACATGAGGCATCTGTGTGAACTTATGGTTCACAGTTCCAATGTTATCTGAATAAAGTTAGAAGGGGAATGTCCCGGATAATTAAAAAAAAAAAAAAAAAAAAAAAAAAGTTCCAATGTACCTAAGTACATCATTACGATTTCTATGTAAAAATAATTGTGAGTTTACTTAAAGGTACCTATTTTAAAAAATCGGATTCACAAGAAGTGAAACACTTGTCTTAAGAATTCAATGCAATTTTCAATTAAAACGAAGAAAAAAGAAAGAGAAATAAGAAAGGGAAGTTAAAATGAGGGAAATACTGCAGCAGAGTAGACTTTCTATTCAACTACTGATATTGAATGAATAATTTTTTTTCCGCCAGGCTTTTTACTTCATTTTTGAAATTTTTTACTTCAAAACTTTAACTTGCTGAAATTACATACGTCGAAACGATGGCGATATGTTGATCGATGAACTGTGAATTCATATTATTGGTTTCCACGTTTTGATTCCAAATGCTTCATATCTATGACCCTCCATCTGAAAAGAGACCTCAGTTCAAAAAGCCAAAATTTGAGTGAAGCTATTTTTGTTTGATTGGATCAAAAAATTAGACTACTAACTTTAGTTAGAAAACCCTTCCTAGTGTCTTAGAGAAAAAGCTGCACACAGATTAGGTACTTAATTTTTGAGCTTATACAGGAGGCTGTGCGTTGCTTGAAGTTTAGCAATATCATACTCTGAACTGGGCTGTATGAAATTTTTAATAACATTGCTTCAAAACCATGGTTTTTGAACTGTGAACTTGACACCGCCAAAACTGCTGCCAGATTTAATATTTTTAGACTTTTTTTTTATTGTAAAATGTTTGTAAAGACTTTCTTCTGAGCTCCAGTTGGTATCAGTAAACGAATTTTGAGTTTTCATAGACTGAGGTCTGTTTTCCTGTGGATGGTGACACATGGACATCATAATGCAAAAAGTTCGAAACTCTTCTGGCTCATAAAAGCACCTACCTGCATACAAAGATTGATGGCAGATATTTTATTCTAAAGATGAGCCAGGAAAGTTGATTCCTTTCAGTATTACGTCATCCAAATTTCATTAACTATTGGGCTTAAATGCAGAAATACGAATCACCATTTATTTACAACTCAAATTTCATACTGTTCTCCTATTTTGTGGAAAAACTAAGTGTATAGTTCTGAAAATTTGAGAGTTTTTATCCTTTAGGAGCTATCCTGACAAAAAAATAAAAATACAGCAAAATATGGAAATGAGAATTAGTATTTTCTGATTCAAGCCATTAAAATTTACTTATTTATTTTTGCACCTCTTAGAAGGAAACTCCTTAATTTTTGATCAGAGAAACTATCAAACCCCATTATTCTATGCTAGTGTTTCACCAATCTCATGTTTTCAACAAGGGGTAACTTTTTTCAAGTTCCATTAAATAATCTTTTCTTTCTTTCATCTGAATGAGATTTGCTGGTTTCTCTGATCGGTAATCAGGAGCTTGCAAGCAAAAGGTAATTTTAAAAATAATCTTTGGTAAATCAGCCTTGGAGCACTGCTTCAGATAGGCAGGCGTCTTAATTAAACCTATTTACAGACTTCAGAAAAAACACATCAACGATTAATCGTATGTTAGGTATACTGTTTGAAAAATTTGAGGAGACAGAAATATTCGTTGGAAAAAGTATCAGGAGAAAAAAAAGAGAGAGGAAAAAGAATAGATAAAATAACAATGCCCACTCTAGAAAATTTCTTTCAAATGAATTGAAAATAATCAGTTTTGAAAAATATAAGCTCTGCTTTACTACTTCCGTTTGGAAAATTGTTCTTTCGATGAATCTTAATATTTACTAGTAATCGCTTGAAGGTTATTCACGAAATTAATGACATTTATCTTCCGAAGCTTATGACCAATCTTCATGCTCTAGAGGGAAATAAAAACCTCTTTTAGAAAGAATTAATTTGGTCCTTTTCACAATAGAGAAGATTGGATCTCATAAGCATGCAAACAATTCCTCCTATCTTGTAGTTTTCATGTTATGAGTTTCCGCAAACTAAACATTCTGAATACATCGATATTAGGCAATATCTCTCGATAAAAAAAGCTTTCAGACAAATTCCATAACAGTTAAAAATAAACAATTGCCCGAGCTTGTTCAAAAATTCTTCTTTTAAGTAAATTTTAAATTTAATAAAATCGATTGAGATTTCTACACATGGTAGAATTATTGATGATCTAAAAAATCTTACTTTAGCACTCAAAATCGGAAAAAATGTCGTGGTGATAACAAAACCTGGTGTGATAAAAATATAACTTGACATTGGTTTTTTATTTACTTGAAAACCTGCTGGAAGGATTTGAAATTTAGGAAATTCAGGGTGAAATTATCCCTAATCAAACCCCAAAGTTTTCACTTTCTGACCTTTGTGAGCACCCTAATGACAGCGGGAAAAATTAAATTAAAATAAAATAAGAACAAAAAGAAAGTAAAATTAAAAATAATTTAATAAAATAATAATTAAAATTTATAACAAAAATAAAGGGGAAGGGACAGAGAGAGGGGAGGAGGGAGGGAGGTTAAAAAAATAATAAAACTATACACAATAAAAATAAATCCAAAAATAAAATTACAATTATTCTGTTACGCATTGGAATAATAATAATCTACACTTTACTTCTTTGAATGTGGGTCTTTTTTCTGGCGAAAGATCCCATGCTTGTTTCATTATGTCATACACCTGCGAGGGGCAGCCCTCCGGTGCTTCCATCTTGTAACCTTTTTCTACGTGTTTAACAACATCTGCTAAGGGTATCCGCGGATATGGAACCCTACCGAAGGAGTAGATCTCCCACAATAAGATCCCGAAGCTCCACATGTCGGATTTATTGGAGAACATGCCCAACTTCAACGCTTCCGGCGCTGTCCACTTGATGGGCAGTTTCCCGCAATCAACTGTGAAGTTTTCCTCGCGGGCTAGTCCAAAATCCGCAACTTTGGCTACGCCTGACTCCGAGATGAGCACATTCCTAGCCGCTAAGTCTCGATGGACGACTTTCCTTGATTCTAAGTACTCCATTCCGGAACATGTGTCTCTGTGTCAGAAAAGATGAACCCAAATAAGTAAAAAAAAAACAAAAAACTCAATGTGAAATTCTTCCTAGCATCTTAAAAAATAAAAATCGGCTTCGATTTTTTGAGTTCGTAAAGGCAACCATTTTTGAAAAGTATACAATGAAGTATACTAATTGAAGTTCCGATTATGGTGATTTGTCCCCGCTTCTTGGCGGTGTCGAACTGGTATGGGATACAGTGCATTGATCAAGTAAAAAACTCTGGCAGATTTTGACTTCTCAGCCAAAAAAAACAAACTGATAAAAAATGATAGCACATAAATTTTGGAAGAATGAAAACAAGATTGGGTTACAAAATAAACATTGCATTTGATACAGAGATTAATTACTGTGTCAAATGCGATGTTTATTCTCCAGAGAAATCCTGTTTTCATTTATTTAAAATTTCTAATTTTTTTTTTCATTGAGAATGATTCTACAGACTTATGTGCCAACGCTACTGTTTTTCTTTTTCTTTTTTTTTTTTGGCTAAGCAGACTAAATTTGCCAAGGTTTTTTACTTAACTGTCGCAATAAGATGCAAAACACTTCCCTTTCAACCATGCTAGGAATTGGGGATGCATCACCTCAGGGTAGATTGCAAAAGCTTTTAGAGGGATTCATTGAAATAAGTCTTTGCTCTTCGATGATTTTTGGGAGGGAATACAAATGAACTGGGAAAATACTTACACAGCAAAGTTGATCTGGTCCCTTTTGGTGACATGAAGTCGCCCTCGGGATCGCAAGTAGTCAACAAGACTCCCTTTGCTCATGTATTCTGTCACGAGTAAAATATGTCTCGAGTTTGGGATTTGCGTAAAAACTAATCCCAATAATTGCACCAAATTTTCATTTCTCAGCGACCTGAACAACCAAGAATACAGTTCTATAGTCAACAATTTGAAAAAAATATTTTATCAACGTAAAATAATAAAAAGAGAGGAAGAGAGAAAGAGAGAAAAAAGACAATCTACATGGGGCTTTCAATTAAAAAAGATTCAAATATGCAGTGTGCAGGGTTGCGGATGCTGCTGAGATTAGAAAATTAATTTTCCCGGAACATTTTGGTAAAATTCCCTGTCAATTAAAGATATGCCAAATGATTAAAAAGAAATGATTTGAAATAAAAAACCGGTATTATTTTACGTTCGAAGTGTCAAACCCATTATACAGAGCAAATAAAATGACTTTTCAATTTTTCCCTGACACTTTTGTCATTGTCCCTGGCATTTTTAGGTTTACCCGGACTCCTTAAAATCCCCTGATATTTCCCAGTATCCCCTAATGAGACAACTCTGTCGAATAAAAAAGAAGAGAAAAAAAATAACAAACCATCCAAATAAATCAAAATACACCTTCATTATTCTTGGATTAAATGTCAATAAAAATGCAATCTTGGAAGAACTGATTTTAAAAAAAGAAGATGTACTAACTAAAATCACATTGAAAAATTAAAATGCGTAGCAAAAAATGAATAAGCCCATGCATGACTGTGAAATGAAAATATTAGCTATCTTGACTTGAAAAGAATACATTTTCTTGAAAAGAGCACACGAAAACTTTATGGACAAATTCTCTGGTTTAGAATCAATGGAAACTTCATTGTTTTGACAGTATACAGTGATTTAGGATATAATGCAAAAAGCACTGGCCTAACTCATGACCATTAGACAAGGCAAGCATTAAAGCATCACAAGATACAATCGTCAAAAGTCCATATGAAAAACATTTTACTTGTTGAAACTGTCCAGAAACAAATTGTAAAAAAGATGCTGGCAGTTGTTGTTTGAATTGAAATCAGTCAGTCTCAACTTCCTGCTTGCCAAAAAGGATCAAAATCTAGGATGTCATGTCGGCCACTAAGAGCTAATTTATAGTGGGACAAATAAATTCTAGTTGAGTTTCACAAAAAATCCTTCCGTATCTGATTCACAATTCCTGTAAACTTCTCACGAACAATTCAGCAAACTGAGTAAATTATTAAACTGTTTGTGCGCACTGAATTTAGTTCAGTGATTGGTTAGGTGCCATTTGATTTCGGTTTTTTGATGAACGGTAAGTTTGAAATTTTCGACACAAAAAATTTTGATTTCTCAGTAATGAGGTGAGTGTGAGATTCTCAATGTGTTCTTGCATGACATTTGGTGAAAATTAAAAGGGAATACTTAAGGAACACTTTTGCAAAAACTTCCTTTGCTACTTTTCTCCATTCTGAGAAAAATGAAAAAAACATATGCGCAATACAGCTGATTTTGCAGCAGGATGCCTTCTCCATGCTTTTATTAAATGGAATTCAACAGATAATGTGATTCGACAAGTTATCCATTTTTGGCGCTAACTTGATTCTCATAGAAAGTTGATATGGCAGGTTTTGCAAAAGTGCTCCTCACTTGTTATGCATTGTGGCAGTTAGTTTCTTGCCTTATTGGAAGAATCTATTAGGACTAAATTTTGCAATAATAAATTACTATTTTCAGCTCTTGATAGAAAAAATTCTTATGCAATTAGTTACCATATACAGATAAGTGCTTTCACAGATGAGCACTAAATAGTGATTCCTTTTCGCAAAATGTAATTCATTTGAAGTTTCCAGGTTTTGAGGACAAAGATTGCACAAAAGAAAAAGCATTGCACAAAGGACCAAACGTGCATTTTCTGAATCACAGAATGAAGCAAAGGGCGTTCAGTACTAGATCAATTCAAGGCAAATCGCAGAGTTACAAGCACTTGCTTTTAGAAAGTCTCAAATCTTACTTTTGACGCAGCCAGAATTTTGATCCTTGATTTTCAGAAAGAACTTAAAGAAAAAGAAATACAGTTCCAGCTCCCTAGGAAATTTTCTCAAGATCAATATTGCTTTGTTTTTAAAAAAAGACCGCTGAACTATGGCGAAAGGTTAATTTGATAGCTTTACTGGGTAAGAAACAAAGTTGGAAAATATTTCACCAAAAAACGGAATAATTTTATGATGAGATATTTTTTAAAAAAAGGAAAAAAAAAACCAAAAAGCAAAAACATTGAAGATAATAAGCAAAAACTCTTACGTCATTAAAGAAGCTTCGGTTAAGAACTTTTGCGCCGCTTCGCTCGAATCTTTAAGTATCTTTACAGCAACTTTTTCACCCCTCAAAATTCCTAGCATAACATCACCAAATTCCCCTTTGCCTATTGTCTCACATAGCTGAAAAGGTAGAAAACAATCACAAAGCAGTTAAAAAAAGCACACAAAAAAAAAAACACAAAGTTAATCGTAGATGACCAGAAAATCTAGCTTTTTTAGCTTTTTTTCTTTCTCTCCTTGCATTTAGAGAAATTGAAGTCAAGAAATGGACAGTTACCGATGTTTTAACTTACGGCACATTTCATGAAGCTTTTCTAAAAATGAAGATTTGTTCTTCATGTTATTGAACAGTGGCAAAGCTATTCTTCAACTATTGATAATTTCTCATTTGAAGATATGGCAAAGAGTCGATTATTAAGATTTTCCTTGCGAAAACCCTGATAATTGATCTTTTCCCACAGGTTTAAATGATTGCAAACCACCCCAGGCAACTGTAATTGAGGCATTTTTCAAAGGTTTGTCTGTTTATCTCTCAATGGGTTTTTATTCATTAAATTAAAAATGAGTATAATAGGTTAAGAATCATGCAAAATTTTTTAGTCTTACTGACAGAAAAAGAAAGTTCTTCAATGAAGGTTTTATTATCAATAACAGACTTAGCATCAAAAAGTTGATTTCAAGATATACACATTTAAAGTTCTATTGACTGGCACATATCACTAAAGCTATCTCTAGGACACTGTATGAACTCCTCTATCGTTAATAGCAATTAGCTCATTAGGCATCATGTCCTTGGTGCTTAGAAAAAAACGCCACATCTAACTTTATTTCCAAAGTCCTGGCAATTCCGTTTTATTCAAACTTTGGCTTTTTGAAAAACCATTTCCTTTGATCTAGGAGCGCTCACAAATCTCAAACCTCTATCTCAACTTGTTCAAAAAATGTGGAGGCAATGCCTGGTATTGGTGGTGCGGGACTTTAGGATTACCCTGTATTTATGATTAGGAGCGTCTGCAAAAATTAACAGTTGATGATTTGCCCTTATTTAAAATTTTTTTCCTGGCACATTTTGTGTAAGTTAAGGGCTTTTAGCCAGAGGTCATTCAAATTATTTCCAAATCTGCACTAAATTTGTACACTATAGTGATAAGTTTTTGATACTTCAAAGAGGGTTGGGGAAAAAAGCCAGTTGCTGAGGGAAAGGAAAATAACCCAAATTTAATAGGCTTATAAGCAAACAATGGAAAAAACTGAATTACCTCAAGCTCATGTTCTTGGATTACCCAGCCTGCTTTGATGAATGCTTTTGTGTCAACACAGACATCTTGTTTCCCTACTTTTGGTAAGCTTTTCGTCAGCTGAGTGCACAGGCCATCAGCATCTTGTTCATAGTGCTGAAATCCAAATAAAAATTGCATACAAGATTAATTTTTTAAAAAAAAAAACCCTCAATTGTTTTATCATTAGTTTCCATAAACCACTAAAGCACCATGAGATTTGGTTCATCGTCAAAACTGCATGCGAAACATATTAAACGTTTTGACTAAGCCTTCGATCAACTGACATTAGGTTAGTGTAGATGGCTTACATTAGAACCATACTATTGAAAATTCCCATTGGTCTAAACGGCTACAGAGTTACTTTACGATGAGTTATCCCTTATTTTCTCAACAGTTTTTTGCTTCAAAAAGGGCTATAACTGATAAAGGTGTGTGAGCTTTGGTTCCATTAGGATATTAGTAGACTTTTAATAGAATTTTTGAACTCTTTCAAAACTCCCTTCACTTGAGTGATCACAATAAATATGGAGGGAAACAAGCTCTCCTTTTTGTGTTTCTTTCTTTTATCAAGGCATTATCTTCAGTCCTATTCAAAGAAATAATAATGTATTTACCCGCATGTGGTACATAAAAAAGAAACCTTTGAAAAAAAAAAAACAGGGGCATCTTATCTTGGGGCAATGGCTGCGTATTCTGCGCACCCTTGATTCGAGAGCCGAAATTTTGAAAAAAAAAGTGCGTATGATACGCAGGTAAATTTGGTAATAATATGCAAAAATTATTTTCATGTGGTATTTGAAGATTCTGATTAAATACCTAGAGCAGACTTTACCTCAACGAGTTGAGCGAGATTCTCAAAAAACTCTTCATCATCAATTGTGAGATGGTTGTCTTTGTATTTGACACGGTAATGTTCAACCTTGTCTTGGAAACAGACGCACAGCGTGTAGTCACCAGGAAAGTTGGTGGATTCTCGAACAAGAAACAGACCATCTTGTTTTGGAGTTAACAGCTGCTCAGCTCTTTCTCGCGAGATTTTGCCGTGAAACCACCTGCAATTTAAACATACTGATTAGTATATATCTTAACGGTACGTTATTGCCTGGATACCTTGTTATAGAATACTCATAGTTTTGCAGGAACATGTATAATTTGAGGTAACAGTAAGAGCATGTTTCACCAAAATTGTTTTGTGTTTTATTTTTCACAATCGATGTGCAATCAATGAACGGGAAGTCAAGAGAAAAACAAGGTTAAAAACCCTAAATAATCTGTCGAGCCTGCTTAAAGGACGATCTGATCGCTGCAGATAGCTGTACATGAAAATATCACGACAGCATTGCAATGTTGTGAAAAAAAGCTTTTCAATTAATTGAGTTTGTTCTACTAATACGCAATAACACTCAATTTTTTTTGTTTTGAAAAACAGGGGGAAAAAGGCTGGAAAAGCTTGAGCTTGCAGGAGAAAAAGCATAATACTTACGGCATCGCGTTGAGTTTGACTTGCGCTTTGTTGCATAGTGCTGAGATTTTGCGTTGCTCACAATCCTCAAAGTGCTGGGGTTCAGGGGTAGACCTCGACCATCCGATACCGCTTGTTTCCACCTCAACATACTGAGGACTCACCGGTTCCAACCGCTGTGGCAGATAATGGATTTCTTTTATTTATTAAAGAGACAGATATAAACCGAGTAAAATTTGGCACTTATGGCAACAGAGAGAAGCTCTCCTAGATTTCAATATTTACTGACTTCATGGGAATGTAATGCGTACAAATTTCGCTAAAGATACAATTTTAACAGGGCAACTATTATTAGAGAAAAGCAGGAAATTTGCATGTTTGCTTTGACAAGACTAATAATTTCAAAGTTCGACAGCAAATTTCATTGATTTTTCACAATTTAGAGAAACAGTACCAAATTTCTTTGGAAAAATGGGCATTTTTTTCCTTTTAAAGATTTTACTCCTAATTTTTCGGATAGTTTAACTTGCAATTTCAGAATCCTAGAGAAGATGCTGATAACGATCCTCAAAACTTAATGTTTTATTGAGGTAAATTTGGCAAAATTCAAATGCTCATACAGCACTTTCGTTAAACATAGTTTTGTTTTCCTCTTTAGCTGCCAGAAAAAGCTATACATAAATCATTAAGTACATATCAGAAGGAAAAACTGTATAGTTCTCTTTTTAAAAAATGATCAACTTACCTGAGTGCAGGTTGTGTTTTGACTCATTGCTGGTCATAGTTTGAGGATAATCATTTTTATACTATGTTGGCTATTCCCATTTGTTGCTGAGCCTGAAAAGAAAAAGAAGCCTTATTCATTGAATGTTAAAAAGAAGAAATTCCGACCTTTGATTTGTTGCTTCATAAAGTGCGAGTACATGGACATAAAATCAAGCCGATGTAGAAAATGCTGACTCTTATTGCGTAATTCTACTTCCTGATAAAGTACATCACAACGCACCTTACTTACATTGAAATATTTTACAACAAAATGTAAGAAAGTTTGATGTTAATTTGAAGCTGAGTCCTCTGATATAGAATGCCCAAGTACAAGATTTACTCCTTTGTCAACTGATACCAATTGGTGTCTTAAAGATAGATTGAAAATACTGAACTACTTCTCCTACGGCCATTTGGATTAAAATAAAAGCAGCAGCCAAGCAACTTCCCTTATCAGATAAAATCTTGTAATATATACTTTGATTAACTAATTGGTTAATTTACCTGTGAGAGTTTACAGGTACCATTTACGGATGTGAATGGCTCATGTCAGTGAAAAAGTAATGACAAAATTTTGCTCAAAGCATGTAAAAAGATGATTGAGCTGACTTAATTATTGTCGCCATTACACAATGACCACAGATATGTGAAAATTAATTGGACTAAAGATTTAATATGTCATGTGCAGTAGAATGAATTTATGGTTCTCCCTTTCACAAAAAAAGAAGGAAAAAAAAAAAAGATGTAAAATTCTTCAAAAAACTGGCAAAATTATCCAGTGATACCCAGTAATGAGAAACAACAACATATTCATTTGTCCATAATGCAGAAATTGATAATGCTATAATCTAATTGGATAAAAAAAGAGTCTCTGTAGTGATATCACGGCTGAATGAGTCTACATGTAGGGCGAGGTTAGGTTTACCACCTGTGAGTGATCCAAGGAATCAGAGATCTAATAAGTCAAAGGATCCTAACAGCAGTTTCATACTAATAATAAAGCACTAGTAAGTGAAATTAAGGCAACCATTTCCACATTCAATCATAAAAAGATCAGACGTACGTAGGTGGGGACAAATGTAAAAGTGTCAAAACAACCGCACTTCAATGAAATGTTTCAAAACACATGCTTAGAAGACATCTGTAATAGAAAATGGCCAGCATCTTCTTCATCAAGTGGGAAACGGGTAAAATTTCAGGGGAAGCAGCAAGTGAACTGTCAAGACGGCTGCTCAAGGATACGCCCTAACCTACAAATATTGTTTACAATAGGTAATGCCCTTCACCAATGAACTGGGTTGGGATTCCTTTAAACTCAGTGAAAATTGTAAGTCATGAGGGCTGCGCTCATGCATCCATCAAGGTATTAATTGGGCAAATGAGTTACTATATTTGCCAATCTAGTAGAAATGCACGCACCACTAACCTCATTAGAGAATGGTTGCGAATAGTATCAGACTGATCAGACAGTTAGCTGACAGAATTACCTAGCATCAGAACAAAATCTTGACATACTCTTGTTGCATGCAACCCTGAATGATATATTTTGATGCCAGTTAGGGAGTATGAAGGTACTGTATTGTGTTAAAAAAATGAAATGATCATCGGGATTGACAAGTTACTTGTGTGGGTATGATATCAGAAGAAAATGGGTAAAATTACCTGAGCACGACACATTAGAAATGCATCATGGTACTCTGGAGTTTTGATTGGGGCGAACTGGAAGTATCTGATGACTGAAAAGCGTAATACATTCAAAATTACAGATGGGAAATGCACATCTGTGAAGATGAGAAAAATAGAATAGGCTCACTCATAGTCAGATGAGCAGTGACCCGGGCACGAAATCTTCGATGAATCAGCTACAACGAAAATATCTCAAGAGCTTCGAAGATAATAACAAAACACAAGTAATTTCACCGGAGTTGCTGTGAAATTTAGTAATTCAAATGTAAAGTAGACTCTTATCACACGTCACGGAATACAACCACGGCCATTTTCAATTTCTAAACTTTTCAAACTTGTTTGTAGAGCAAGTTGATTGCTACTATCGCCGCTAGAGGCCACTGCTTTTCATTCATCCCCTCCCTCCCTCTGAACCTGTCATCAATTGGTCATCATCATCATCTGTCATTGTTATTGTTGTGTTCGCCGTTCGCTCGGATGTTTACTTTTTGCAGGCAAAGACCCCCTACGATGTGCAGGCAAGATGGCTGCGTCGCGCGACGGGAACTCAGGGCAGTTCGAACACTCTCTTCCCAATACCTACTCTAACCCATCCTATCGTCCGCCGCCTCCCTGTCCTTTTTCCATCGTTTACTGCTTGAACACTCAGGAACGAGACGTCACCCTCAGCACCATACCAGTGGGTGCATTATATTAATCCATTTTGTATTTCTTAGAATTAAAAATTGAAAATATTCATATTAATTTATTGATACTATCATATTTCCAATGTAAGTGTTATCTTTGTAGGTGATGTTATTTATTTACACTCCCACATTTCACCTATCTTGATGCCTGATTGGTAAATTTTACCACTTTTTGGATTGTTATGTACTTTTGAAGGTTTAAGTTATCAAAAGTAGAAATGTGCACAGATATTGTTTTAGCAAATTTTTCAAGAAATGTGCTAAGTGCCTCGTATTTACCTATTAACAGGAAGTTTCCAGAAGTTGTACCATTGTGCCACAAAAAGAAATTGATAAATTTGTGCGAATGTTTAGTTAAAGTTTTAGCTTGATGGTTCATCTTTACATGGAAATATTTTTGGTACAATTATAATTTCCACAATGAAAGTCTGGCAACACAGCTAACTTAGCAAAATCCCTCATATTTCTTAGGAATTAAGTCAGATGTGAGGGTAAGATTTATCCCCCCCCCCTCCTCCTCTCAACTAGTTCCCCCAATGCGCACAGAATGTACTAATAAGCAGCATAAAGCAGAGGGAAAGATACAGGTATAATTAATAGATAGGTATTCACAACACATGGATGATTTCAAAATTTGACATCTGAAGCATGTTTGAGATAATATTAAGCACCGATAGTATTCTCCGGAGGAAGCTGCAGTGGGTGCTGCATGCATGTATACACAGCCTGGCAAATACGTAAGTACAACTCTGCGTCTTTACCGACCAACTACACATCTTTTTTACCTAAAATTTAACTCTAAGTACTCTAAGTAACTTGTGTGTTTCTCCCACACGTAGATAGCCTCCTTTTATTTTTTAAATTTTTCCTGAGATCCACGCCTGATTCCAATAAGGAAGGAAGGATGCTATCTTAGTTTTTAGCTGCCATAGCTTTATCCTGAAAACATTTATACCTTGTGCGCATACAATCCTCAAACTCATCCCTTATCATCTGGCATCCTCTGCCTATTTAGCAATAAGTAAATCCTCTAATCAAACATACATGGCTCAGATATAAATTAAAGCCCCCCTCCCCCCCGTATTTTCCACCAAAATTCAAAATGTAAATAGGTACGTTTAAGATTAATTTCAATGCCTCAGAACGCTGCATGGGGCCCCCACACAAGCTTGTGATTTCTCCATAAATTCTAAAGATTCTCCATCCTCAATCCTTAAATAAATTATATCATAATAATTATGTCAATAATTATATTATATCCTTAAATTATATCAGAAAAATATCTTGCCAAAGTATTTTGAGAATTACCCTGGTTGACTTGGGTTGGACTCGTTTAGAAATTTAATCTCAATCAAAAATGCCAATTCCCTGAGCTGAGCAGTTTAATTTTTCTCCGCGAGTGAAATTTGTGCTTGGCGCCATTAGGAGCAAAGAGTAGGGGAGAGGAGAGAGCAACAGAGCAGAATCATGGAGTCCGAGCGAGCTGCACGCACGCTCCACCAGCTACTCCCGCTCTGTGATCGCCTGCACATCGTAGGGGGTCTTTGCCTGCAAAAACGCTTCGCCGTTCGCTCGAGCTCCGATAGCTTTTATCACTGAGTTTTTCGACTTTAATCCTAAGCTAATTCTGTGAAAATCCTTATTTGCCGCACGGACATATTCTCAGTGAATTCTAATTTATACCTCAAGGCTCATTCATTTCGTCCAAAATCTTTTTGAGTTGTCTGATCAAGCATCTTGAGCGAGGTGCAGCCAAAGTCACATGTGTTTTTGAAATGCTAAAATGCTAGCTTTCAAATCCGCTCTATTATCTCTCATCTGCTACCTCTTAAATTTAAACCTCGTGTCCAGCGCTAGTGGGCCATGTTTTCCTCAAAACAATTGTCAATGTATATTCCCTTCTGGAGCAATTATAGATCTCAGCAAATTTCCCCAAAGGTACGTTACATAACTATTCTGGTTCTGAGCATCATTTTTATCAATCATGATTCCTCATCTGCCAATGGTCAAGAGCTAGATCAGGTGCTTATGTAAAGATTCCCGAAGTAGTTTTCAGTACGGTGGGATGTTTTCAACTCTAGGGTAGCGCATACGCAAGAGAGTTGAAGCTAGAGGGGCCTAAGTAATTCATAATGTTTTTGATAAAAAGTTTAGGGGAAGCAGAAGTGTCGCCAAAAGCTGTTTTGTATCAATTACTGAAAGAGATATGGAGGTTTGATGATTACATTCCTGCCCGCTTCTTTAGAAGCAGGCCAGGAACGTCCTCAGTGCACTTGCAGCAATAGGTATCCGTTTGAGGATTAGCATCTTGTGTTGTCCTCAAAGACTATCTAACGGTAACTTATGTGAAATGTGGGTTGCAAAAACTTCTTGACCATGAGTCTGTGCGGGTTGTTAAAAATGGGAAAGCCCTGAGAACAATGGTTTGAAGTACTTAAATGGGGAACCTATAAAATCCACGTTTTTGCCAAATCACAGCAATTTACCCTACCCATGAAACTGTAAAAAAGTCATCATCCAAAAATTTCTGAGGTAATAGGGATTTTTGAAATGGGGAGGCTGAGAACCTTCTGCATCCCTGGTGAAACCTATCTCTGAATGCAGACAGTGTTATAAATATCTTTAGAGCGTGTTATTGAATACTATAACAACTTGTTTTTTCAGGACGAGCACAATTGCCGCTCCAAAATCCGAGGTCAAAATAGTCTATTCACCATGTGAAAATTTGCCTGTTGTCGTTGTCACCCCTTCAAGCACAAACTTCAGCAATCCATGTGCAAATGGAGTTTCGGTGAGATCATCAAATTCTCTTATGGGCAGAATGTCAAACGCGTCATCGAATTTTGGCACGCACTGCTGAACTTCTCCTTTTTTAATTTTTTATTTGAATTTCTTTATTATAAATAACTGTTTTATCTTTAAGATTAATCCCTGAAATTTTCATGGAAGTGTGTGCAAATCTTTCAAAGTAAAAGTTGAATTAATCCTAAAATGTCAGTAACTTAGCGCCCAAGCAAAATTGGTTTTTGTTGGGTTCTGTCTGGAAAAGAAACTTAACTTAGCTTCTACATTACGTCTAAAAACTATGACAATTAATCTTATTATATCTAATGTAGACTTACCTGGTTTGTCAAAGCAATATTGACTATCAAGTATCAATGTACCAAAACTTACGATACGTGAAGAATGGACTTTTGTCAACCATATAGCAGACTTCTTCAATGTACAGGTCCTTAGATTGTATAAATTCTCAACAATTTTGCACCCTTCAAAATTTTGTGGCCTAGGCTATAGTTTCTATAGCCCTATATCTAATCTGGCTCCATTACAAAAAATTGATAGTTGAATAGATAACAGTTTTTATTTTATAACAAGAAAACAGTTCGGTATCATCTACAACTAGCAAACGTAACCCCATGGCATACAGGCCGTCAGGGGATTCCTGCGGAGGATTCACTTTCAATTGTTTTTTCTATCATAATTCGCTGCTTCTACGCAAGTACAAATGTGAAGTAAAATCTAACATCTAAAATATGGAAAGATATATTCAAACTTAAAAATCAATTTCTGAAACCAAATAATATCTATACCGCCATGCATCCCTGCTATATCTTGCAATTTCCTTTCAGTGCCCTTCATTTGTAATACCTATGAACTTATTCTCCTGAAAAGACTTTTTTAACCCTTTAATTTTATATCTGATAACACAGGACACCTTAAAATTGATACTAAAGTCTTCAAGGTAAATCTGAGTGACAGATGTACGTACATCAGTCAACGGGGTCTTTTTTCAATCTCAAGTCTTAAAAGCCAATTTCATCTTGAAGTACTTTATTATTTTTCAGATGAGTCTTGTTGTTCAAGTATTTCCGTTATATTTAAGACGTTTGCAAAAGTGGAATTGAGTCTTTTTCCAGAGTGACACATTACTAGAAATCTTACTTTTCCTGACTTAACATCAATGTGAAAGGAACTTTGCTCCATTGCTCCATCATTTCAACTCAAAACTCTTCTCTTTTTCTTCAGTTTCTCTTCAAATCTTCATAATTTATAAAATACCTCCAACTTGAAATTTTTGGCAGGTTTGCATTTTCAATTCAACTACACAAATATTTGACGGAGGACACAAAGAAGACCTCTCATTTGCATCGACTTTTCAAGAAGATCCAGTCACTGCTACCCTCGACAAAAGTGGATGGTAACTCAATGAATAAAATCATTTTTAAACTGTCCTGTTACCCTCAGATACCCATTGATTGAACGTAACTATATTTATTTCAGGCATAAATTTTACTAGGCACTCCAGGCAAAGACACATGTACACTTTAGCTGTACCTGAATTAAAGTAAAGAACAGAAAATAGAACCTTAGCTGAGAGTGATCTGGCCTCCACACCATTTTCGAATAGAATCAAGAAAAAAACTTCATAGTGCTGACTGAAGAATTCAAAATTAAGATATTAACCCTTTAGTCTGTCGGCATATTTTCGGAACATTTCAGCACAAGAAAGTCCCAAAAATATCAGTCAAAAACAGACCTGTAGCAGTTCCATTCAAAGTCACACACAGTTCACATTCCAAGTCAAATCCATCACAAGTATGAATTAAAATAGAGAAACCTCTAAAACATCAAAAGGATGTTTTTAACAAGACCACTCAAAAATTGCTCATAACTTTCATTCGCGTGTAAGAAATTTGGGTCGAATATGTGCTCAGGTATTTTTTTTTATGTCTCGATGAGTGTTTTTAGAGATTTCTTAGTATAATTTCAAAAAATTGAAGGGCAAGGTCTCATCCCGTGTAAATGAGAAGTAAGTACTTCACCTTCTAGAACTCAACTTCTAATACGCTTCCTTTTCCTAGATGCTAAAATAGGTAGTGCTTGAGCTCTCTTCTCTGCATGTTAAATTTAAGCCATCCCTAAGTTTCTTTTAATTTTCACATGATTTTATTTTTGTTGCAGGAAAACCATAATCAATATAGATTGTAACAAAGATGCAGGGATTTTAAGCTCCTTGGCTGTTAGTCATTTTGATATATCCACAAATACTGTAGTAAGTGCTTCATGAACTCTGTTATGTATTCCTTTAATCTATGAATTTCAAGAAGAGCTGACTCTAGTGTACAGTATCTGCTCAGAAAATAAATGTATCCTCTGAATATAACATCCTCCATTCGTGCATTGTACCTTTGTTAAAGTTTGAATTTGTTACATTAAATTCTTAGAGCAAAATCTTAAAACCAAGTGTTGCTCCAACTTCGAAGTGATGACTTTAAGTTAGAACTCGGTCAGGATTTGTCTGAGGCCGGAAAAGTTGGAAAAAAATTGGATTTTATTTCATCTGGCTTGTTTTCCCTCTATCATCATAAGAGTTTACACAAAGCTTACAACAAAGTTCTCGAAAAATTACAAGAGGATTTACTTTCTTTTTTGAAATCAAATTTTCTCTGTCTTTGTTTCCTTCCTTTTCGAGCGCACCAACGTTAAGGAAAACTGAGCTTGTTATTTGTTCATTAGGTATTCAATTGATCACATATTTCAGCAACAAGGCCCTGGTACAGATCATCTCATGAAAGTATACTTAGCTCAAGTCTAAGAAAAAAAATTTCAACAAATTGTTGAAACATAATTGTCAACTTTGCAAGTATATATAACATATAAATGTTTGGCACCAGTGCATTGCTTTTGCTTTCACATAATGGAAAGTTAAAGTTGCAAGGTGTCTTCACGATTCAATTGTATTTTTTAATCACCCCTGAAGAAATAATTAAATGCTTTTCATTGATATTTTACTTTCAGACTATGGATCTGAAGTCAAACGATGTTTGCATCGGTTTCAATGCTACAAGCGGCTACGGATTTTTTTCCTCTTTGCTTATGGTCATCCTCCTGGGATTCACTATTTACTTTGTAGGCGGTGCCATTCTTCTCAAATTCCTTAGAGGTGCCGATGGACTAGAGATGATTCCAAACTATGAATTTTGGCAGAATTTCCCTCAATTGTGCAAGGTATGCTCAAATTTAAAGTAAAAATTCATACTTGAATTTCATAATTGATGGACTGAAATGCAATTATACGTTCTCTACTAATACAAAAATGGATTATAACACTTTCAACTTATTTTTTTTGAGGTACTGAAGTGCATGTTCTATCAAAGACACAAATTAATGTGATTTCCTAACCAGACTTCATGAAAAGAGCCCTCCTGAAAAATTGGCTTACAAGACTGAGATCCTTTTTCTTGAAATTTTGGTTGAGTGTCAATGTTAGCAGATAATTTATAGATGTCAGTGTTTGAAAACTGTTCTGAACAGTTTGATTTAATTACTTGCATTTTATTTTTTCAGAACTGGTTCAACAAACTACGAGGGCAAGATAGACCTGAGACCTATGAAAACATCTAAATCAATGAACAAAAAATGCATGCTGTCACTTCAGCAATCTACACTTTGAGTTGGGCTGTTTCATGTCCTCAAATCAACTTTAGCTCACTCACAGCCAGAGATTTGTCACCTTCCGATGGGCGTAAGGGTATTCCTTGTTCCTTTCTAGTCCTTCAGTTCATTTCTCAGTCCCAGCTAAGCTTCAAACTAAGCAAGGAAATGGGTTTACAATTTTTCCGAGCAGAAGTTTGAGACTCTATTTTTTTCTAGAAAATTGGAAATTGGTACCTGTTAATTTCACGTATATATTAAGAAAGCCAGTGAGGCATGTCTTTTTAAGCCTGTTTTCCAGATATGCAAATGAGGATTGGAACTTCATTTAATTTACTATAGAGGATAGTGTGTTTTCAAGTTTCGTTTTTAAGTCAAATCATTATGACATTAAGTTAAAACAGGAAACGCCACATGCCAGTGAGTTTAATCTTGCCGTCTTGCATGTGCAGAAGTTCATATTCGAAGATGTATCTACCAAGATTTTTTTCTTCGGCTGGCAACTCATTTCATTTCAAGGATGAACTTCTGCTTACGAAATTTATCCGAAACATCGTCCATCTTTCAAAAGTAAGCTATTTCGAATTTTAAAGGAAAGGTTGTGATTACTGTCATTCTTTATGATCATGACCAGCGTCTGTATGAGGAAGATATTTTTGGTAAAGATCTGGAAAAATTTGTTCTTTTTTAATGGTTTATTAGTCGAACCTTGAGTTTTGTTGGGTTCTCTTGCTTTGGTCCAGTTCTTTATAATTCTATGTGAAGAACTATGTATAGAAGCTGTTACCATCATCAGTCAGGTAGTTTCTAGAAAAAGCGGAATAAGTAAGAAAAAGTATCTATATTTTTCAAAAAAAATAATAGTTAGGTAGTTTTTTTCATAATGTGATTTTAGATTTGTTTTTCTCTGTTTTGGTTTGTTCGCATAGAATCAGTTTGTATCTTCCAAGTTGTATGTTTCAGGTTAAATTTTTAAAATTGGTACTTAAGAAATTTCCATCAGAGAGTATTGATGGCTGAAGTTAGGAAGTATGCATATCTGATTGGGAAGTTGCAAATCTTTGCTCACATTTTAATTTTGTAATGAAACACTAATAAAAAGTCTCGGAATTTGTTTACTTATTTTAAAATATTAATTGAACATTTTAATAAGATACTTAAGTTAGTGTTCTCTTGTAAACATAAAATATAACCGGAGATTTTGAAATTCAGCAATGGAGGCATGCTTCATCCGACTCTAGCCATCAATAAGAAACACATTGTAGAACATATTTTTTGAAAATAATTTTTGACGGTTTGTAAGTTGGTAAATTTTTTGTTGCTCCCCTGATTATTGTTATAATTTTTTTTCCCCCTGAATTTGTATTTATACTTTATGACAATGGGAGAAAAACGTAGCAAGTCAGCCTCCAGGCCTTCTGCATGTAGAAATCAATTAATTAATTAATTCGTTTTATTTTGTATTTATTGATGCGTCAATCTGAAAATTAAGGTGAAAGGAGAATCAAAGAGAATGTCAATCCTTAGCATTTAAATTTATTTTGTTAGTCAATTTTAAAAATAGCATACCAGATTCTGTTATTTTAGTGACTGCCTACATTATTTTTAGTTGTAAGGGGCAAGGTAGAGCAATCGTATCAGGCTTAATGACTGAAACATATCAAGGAAGGATTTTTTTAATTGCTGTTCATTGGTTAAGCAAACCCGATTTCTCAAATTGGAAGTGATAATTGTTTCCTTCTTGTTTTAACCAGTAACTCCGTCAATATTTGAAGTCATCTGTTATAACCTTTGAAAAGAGCTGCATTTTGTCGTCAGTGTATTTTGGCACCATAAATTTGAGAATTTGTTGTCCTTCTAAAATTTGGCATCATGGACAGTTACATTTTTGGACAGTTTAATCTGTCCTGGAGAGAAATTTTATTGCTTTGCAAGCGAATCGTTTTCAAACCTTTGCTGCAAAATGGATCCAAGAAAATCCCTGTCATCAATGGAGGAGTTATTGCATGATTTTTAACATCCATCATTAAATTACTTCTAATCTCATCAATGTTCTAGAGTGCCTGCCGTTTTTCTTCAGGTTCCTTTTAATTGATGCAGGCATGTACAGTATATAAATCAATGCGTGGCTTTATCAAAGACAACAACATTTTATCAAATCAATTTTTCATCAGACCCCCTTAGCCTGCCTTAGACTTTAGAAACAAAACAAAATATATAATAGAAGTAACTTAAATTTAAGCTCAAAGCACTAAAGTTTAACACCAAAATTTATTGATCCCATTTTTATTAAGTTTCAACGTTGTATTCCTCTCAGTTCATGATTAGAAAATAATTTATTATCTTAATTTTACCCTCTCTGGTCACGAGTTCGTACCCGAACATTTTACTTTCAACCTTTTTGTCACCAGTCTAGATTCTGTGTGCATATGGCGCACAACCAAAGTCATGCAAACAAATGAAAGTGCACTTTTTTAGGAAGTGTTTGAAGTTGTAGTTCAGGTCCTCCTCGATAGACAGAGCTACAAATTTGAATGCTTCTGAGTGAAGGCTGCTGAGTAATGGCGGAGATGCTGCAGGAAGAATACGATTTTGCTGAATGTAAAATGAGAGGGTTAATATATGGTTCTCAATTCTCTTGCTTTCCAGAGCCTGTACAATTAAGTATTATCTACCTTAATCCAGTAAAATGTACATTGAGCCCTAGTTCTTCATTTAGTTTTTTCTCCTTTAAGTCACTTTGTTAATATTTGTTGTTAATTATGTTTGTATATTCTATTGTTAATTTTTTGTAAGTTCAACTGTAAATATGTTTTTTGTCCAAACTACTCAAAAGAATTGAATCAACATACACTCTTCATACCCTCCTATTCATTCAACACACGATTAACAGCCTTAAAAGTTAAAATAAGTCTGTGGTATTTACAGAATCTGACGAAAATTTTAGTTTTTAGTTCTTGTGACAAACATGCAGAAATTAGACTAAAATTAATTTAGATGCCTCAGCTATCAAAGAGTAGTGATGATAGCTTTACAATAGCTAAAAAATTGAACCAAAAAGGCTGTGTATTTTGGATAAAAAAACATGCATTTTTTTTAGAAAAAAAATTTAAAAAAAACTTAGGTTTAAAGAGCTCTTCCTGGATCACTAAAATACTTTAATCAACTTTCTCTAAGTCAGACTCTAACTACTACCTTTTAACTTCTTCTAGATATGGTTTGTTCCTGCTTAACATTTGTAAATTAAAGTGAGTTGTATAAGTACTTCAAAAAATTACGGCAGAGCAGAATTTAAAAGTGACCACATTACATGGTGAATTTAATAGCTTTCTACAGCCTAATCTTCAGGAAACAAGTTTCTAGAACACTTGTTTGTCTATTTCAAGTACATAACACCCTTACCTATAGTCTAAATCTTTTGAACTTGATTTTAATACAACGGACCATTAGATAGGGTAAGGAGTTAAACAAGACATGGGCCATTACTGAAACACGTAATGCTGAAAATTAGATTTGACCTACATTATTTCTAGTTTCTCTGTGAGCAGAAAGTTTGAATTAACTGTGTCTAAAGTAAATTATAAACAAAAATTTGAAATGTTTTTACCCAGTGCCTTACTCTAATCATTTATTTGCTTCAAGTGGAATTTTTTATTTGTTGAGAAATATCTGAGAAGTCAATAGTCTGTTTGAAAAGACTAGTCTCAAGCAAACCATGGTCTAAGCTCTCAGTTTAACTTTCAAAACTGCTATGAATATGAGATATCTAAAATCCCTCTATCACATAGGTTTCCTCTCACAGAACTTTATTGGAATTGATGCAAAATTCGAATGGAATAGATAGATATTTTAAGGATGCGATATATTTAAGACTTCATGATCTTTAAACATGGGTTAGAAGGTGCAGAATGTTTTAAACTTTCAAGTGTTCATACATCCGCCCGCCGGCTTTCCAAATTTTTCTCATGGTTTCCCTCAGAATTTCCCACCAATTACATAAGTGGTGATCTTTTTCTGTTTTTCCCCTTGATTTTCGACTTTTGACACTTTAAAAGTTTCCCTCCTTTCACATTTTTAAGGCCTCTTCAAATTTTCTTATGCCTGTCTGTGCCCTGAACTGGGTATTCTGTGTACCCCTGCATGGTGGATCAAGTTTGGAAGTTTTAAAGTTCTGTCCCTTTTTAAAGAGGGAATTTTTGACAATCCACAGGAAAAGATACCTTAGTCTACAGAGGTAAACTGTTTAAGAGAGTACATAATATGCGTCCTGATAAGTCAAAAAATTAAATCTTAAGATTTTGAATAAGTCTCTTTAGTATACCAAATTGCTAGTTACAACTAGTTTTTTACATATTTGTGCCAATAAAGGGCAAACATTGGCATTGCGATTCTCACTATTTCATACCTTCAGTATGGCAGATTTTAAATAGTCTGTTCTTAAAATTTAATCTGAATTGAAAACTTCTGACCCCAAATATTCCACTGTGGTCTGACATTTTTTGTCCTCAAATGTGTGTAAGACACTCCTCTTTCTGCAGAATCAATAATGCAATTTTCTGTTTTTGTAGAATAAGGTCTACCTATTTTCGGTGGATTGTTGTGTTCAATCTAATTTTTTGGCTTTTCATAAGATTTCTTGCCTGTTATTACGTACATACCCATTGTAATAATTGGTCAGAAATTTGTCTTTAAAAATCGGTGAAAATTCATAAAGTCTCCTCTGAAGACACTGTCCTGTTAAACTTTTTCTCTACAAAGATGGGCCTTTGTAAAATGGTTGTCAGTGGTTAAGGATTATGTTTGTGCCTCACTCCTCCCACCATAGCTAAAAACTATTTTTGGATTGCGTAGTTTTTTTCATGCATATCGTTAGTAATTATCTGTGAAAATTATCTGTGAGTGTAAGACTGAATTCCAATAGCCCTACTTTTGTACCGTTTTGTCAATATTTATCGCTGTCTTTAAACTAAACTTTGAATTTGCCGCACACTTTTTGCTGAATTATCATCCTTCCAATAACTTTTTCGAGGAATCATCTTTATGTCTTATAAAATCCACGAAACATGGACATGTATATAATTATTGTTAACAGTAAACCCTTTGATTTCTAAGTGCAACCTCCTGTTCAAAAAATAAATTTGAAAAAAAAAGCTCTCTGTTCTCTTATTATTCCATCGAATTCATTTAGATGTAGGAGACACTCCTAAAGAAGTTTCCTACTATGACTGATAATGAAAGGAAGCAAAGCTATATCTGCATAAAATTATTACAAGTAGAGAAAAAGTCCAATTTGCTTCTAAATGTTTTTATTGAATTGTTCAAATCAAATTGAGAACTCTCAGTAGAGAAATCGGAACTAATTATCTTTTATTACACAGGAAAAAAATCATCTTTTAAAACTGAAAGCATGTATTTTGTTTACATATGAGTGTTCTTACGCATTGACATATTGTTGTAGGTATTAATTTTTGAAAGGTGGGCAGATATAGTGCCCAACATGAAACAAGTTACGAATTTCATGGACATTCTATTAACAACAATAATAATAGCAAGACGTGAATAGCCACAATTTACGAATTCCTCGACTAAAACCTTTAAACTTATACACTACACTGCTTCACAGAAGCCTGGTATTTTTCTTAAAATTCGGAAAAGTTTGCCCGTAAAATAGAGCATGGGATGTCTGGGTTCTGGTTTCTTATAACTTATCATTTCTTTGAGTGAGTTTCTTAAAGTTGCCGGGAACGGCACAACATCAAACATTATTGCAGAGCCGCTCCAAAGTACAGCTGTAACTAACATGAAAAATGCGACCGTCTTCGCTAATTCGTAAGCAACCACAACGATGATTTTTAAATCTGTGGAACATTAAGACAAAATTTAATTTCGAATCGCTAGAGAATTGTAGTTCAGGCGCCTGGTAAAGTTCGCTGAATTTCGAGTACACTTTTTTTTCTTTACAAAAAAATTCACATGATGTTTATTGGGTTGCTGGATCCAAATTTGAAGTTTTCTTACACTTTATCTGATGAGCTATTTTCAAAAAATTGCCCTAACAGGCGATTTTGTCACCGGCCCTCTCTCGTCAGAGGAGCAGGGCCGGATTAAGGGGGTGGCCTCATGGGCCGCGGCCCATAGCGGCAAATCTAGGGGGCGGCAAATTTTGCAATTTTTTTAAATGTAGGTATAAAAAAAAAAAAATCGGATTTAGAAAAAAAAAATTACAAACGAGAAAAGGCTACATACAAAATCTCTCATTTCCTGAGAGTGTAGTAATTTCTAATTTTGTCAGAGACAGCGCCTTTAATTAGTTAAGTTATGCGAGAAACCAAACACACAATTTGGCCTGGAACGGCGCGACTTAGGGAGAAATGATGACGAGGACTTGAGAAGAAAAGGAGAAGCCCTCGGCGCGACAATCGGCATGTAACACAAATTAGCGCCTACAAGACTGCACGAATACTTCACGCATTGCATCAAACACAGTGCGGTTATTGTGGTCAGTGTGAAACGGATAGCGCCTACAAGAACGCATGAATACTTCACGCATTGCGCCAAACACGGTGCGGTCAGCGAAAAACACATAGCGCCTACAAGACTGCGTGAATACTTCACGCATTGTGCCAAACACGGTGCGGTCGGCGCGGCGCGGCGGCGAAACTAAAGACCATTAAACTAAATTTTGTTTTTGTTCTTTCATAATTTTTTCGTTCATTTCTTATGAATGGAAGGCCATGTCCATTAGAGATAGGTTTACTAAACTTTACTTTCGCGCAAAGTTCCGTGACTTTTTGCTAATAGTGTTGACAGGGCTTTCCCAAAAAATGTGTTCAACACGAGTAAACGTGACTTATGCACCCCTCCCCCGCTGGCAAGTTCACTTGATGGTTTTTATTGATGTTTCAAAACTAATGAGAAGGGGGCGGCAAAATACAGGCGGCCCATGGGCGGCAAGTAGGGAAATCCGGCCCTGCAGAGGAGGGGGGGGGCTTCAGGATGAAACTGGCTGCGGCTTCCTTTAATTTTTAGCTAAAGCAAGTTTTAGAAGCCAAATTATTTTTCTCCCTCCCTTCGTGTCTCTATCCTCCCATCGCCGAGCCCAAACCGATCGAGTAATCTTCCGCAAAACATTGAGTGACATTCGAAAGGAACAGATGGTCTGCGCGCCAGACTCGTTTTCACCATCTACTTTTTTAGGAGGGGGGATTCAGGGTTAGCGTTGCGTAGGTAGTTTTTTGGGGGGATGGAGAGAGACCCCGCACAGCGCGATGTTGCGAAGCACGAGGGGATCGGCCGGGGGGAGGGGGGAGGAGTTCAAAACCCCGCTAGTTTAGGTAACTTTACGTGATTTAGGGATATTCCCCTTGGATCGATTCGCCCACAATTTCGAGGGAACGCCGGTGGTTTACATTTGTTTTTATCATTATCTTCATTAAATGTATCTCATGAGCAATGTGCTCAGAATAACAGATCTAGAAAACGAAATTTTTCGTTATTGATTTTCCTGGCGGAAAAAGAAGTGAAAACTGTGTGATCAATCTCCATGAACACTCCTGCAATTTCTCCCTCAGTTTTAAGTAGTTCGAAACACGTGATATCCAAAATCTAAGCACAGATTCGGATTCCTCGTCAAAAATCATCGATATATCATGCATCTTCCGTTACCGCATATCGGTCCAACATGGCAACATGGGTGGGTAATGACTGGGTGAGTGGGTCAGCAGAAGAGTAAGAAGAATTTATCTTCACAGAAATTCTGCGGGACGATTAGGCGCCTGGCGCTAGGACAGATTCCTAGAAACTGGCGGCATGGATAAAGGGCTGAAGGCTGAAGGTCGAGCTCGGAAGATGGGGTGGCGAGAACCCATCGGGCCTTGTTGCCATGTTGGACTGAAATCAGTAAGCTTGTACGTTTAGAATCTTTCCTTCATGCTACAGTAACGTATGCTACATGAAATCTCTTCGATTTTCAGCAAGGAATTCGAACTTGATCTTAGATTTTGGATAAAACGCGTTTTAATCTATTTGACATTGTACGGATTGGAGGAGAAATTACGGAACTGTTTATAAATATTGATCATGCAGTAGTTTTTTTTTTTCTTTTCTTTTTTTTTACCAGGACAAAATGCAAAATTTTGTTTCTTGGTTTTGCTAATCTAAACAACTTGCTCATGGAGTATAATGAAATAAACCCCCTATACTAAATTAGGTACCTTGATACTGCGGACGAATCGCTCAATGGGCTTATCTCTAAATTACGCAACGTCAAATTTGCAGGATTATAGCCTCTCTCCTTCAGCCGATCCCCTTGTACTCCTCAACGCTGTGCAGGATCTCCTTCCACCTCCCCCCCCCCCNAAAAAAAATAACAAAAACTACGCAACGCTAATCTTGAATATCGACGGTGAAACTACCAAACCACGTATCTCGGTTTGCGACGTCGCAGACTTCCTGTCATACGTTATTTTTTAAATGAAAAACTACTTAACATCCAGCCTTGAAAATTTCTGTGATTTTTCCTCTTTGTGCGGAGAAAATTCCGCGAAAATTTCAAGGAATGATACCCTGGTAAAAATGGCAAGTGTTAGGTCAGTGAATTTTCCACTGAGGTCAGTGCAATTTGCTCTGAGGTCAGTTCAGTTTTCTCTGACGTAAGTGTTAAGGCACTTACCCATGAAGTCAGCACTGAGGTAAGAGGCACTGACGTCGGGAGAAAGACTTACCTAAGTGCAGAGATGTCTCTGAGGTAAGCGGGACTGAGGTCAGGACTTGGTTCAGAGGGTAA